CTTATTAATTTGTCATTTGATCACTGAACAATATACTTTGCGATTTTTTGGCACTGGCCTACTAGTAAATAATAATTTGTGAAATCGGGCTATTTTAAATTGCTTAGTGAGTTGTTACAGGTTAGCTGTAAGGTTTAGCTCTGTTAAAAATACACTTTACAAACTTTGTAATAGCCCAACATTCAAGCCTGGGACTAGTAGACCGAATTTTAGAAAACCGACACATCTTGCTTTTGCGGATGATGTAATCTCAGCAAGAACACTTCAAGCTTGATCAGGTGTTCTGGACGAGTTGCTGGGAGCTGCATGGGAACTTGGGCTTGAGATTAATGTTCAGAAGACAATATATAAGCAGACGGCAAAAAGGTATGGTGAAGAGTGGACAATTTAACTTTGTGATTACAAAATAGAATGTTATTCAGAATTGAGGCGGAGTAGCACCAAATCAGAGAAGACAACCTTTACTTTCGAAAAGGGTCACGCGTAGGCGGACTATCAGTTGTTGGATAGAACAATAAAGTTGTTTTAGTTCAGATACCGTGTTTGTTGTTTTTCATCATATTACCCTCCTTTTTATTCCTTCTTAGTAGCTACCGGAACGTAAGTTTTACATATATAAATAGAAATAGAGAAACAATTCTGTTATACTGAGACGAAACCGTTAAGAATAACAGAAAGATACAGAACAAAAGAAATAATTCTTTATTCTACTTATTTATTTATTTAGAAATATAATATTCTGTCACAGGGACAATAATTATATTGATAAATGAACACATTCACACCGTATATACAAAAAAAAAAAAATAAATAAAATTAACAAAAGTGAAATAATAACTAAATAATAATAAATATAAACTATATACAATAAAAAAAATAAAATAACCTAAATACAAGTAAATTAAAAACAGTCACACCTATATACAATATATACAATCAGGCGGGGAACCCAAATCCCCGCGCTACTCTCTCAACCGCCTCACCGGTGCTAAAGCCGGTGGAGAACCAGGCCAGAATAACTAAATCAAATAAATGAAAAACGTTATGTAAACGAGCAAAATATAAAAAAACAAACTAAAGAAAGTATATAGTTAAGTAAAATATTTAAAGAAGTTTAATAGTTAGATATTGTAATTATACTTGAAGTAAGAAAAAACAACACCCTTCTTTTGGAGCTTTCGTACTACTTAGAGCTATATAAAATACATATAAGAACTGAAACATATAAAAAAAAAAAAAAAAAAATTAACAAAATAGGAAGAAAATCAATAAATAAAAAATAAACTCCTCTATTAGATGAGCACCAAGTAAAAAATCTATGTATTCTATCTCAATAAAAAAACATTTATGTCAAAAGTAGTAAGAAAATAAATAAATTAAGCAATTTTATGAGCATAAAAGTATAATAGAAATGAAATGATATGAAAAATATATATACAAGTTCATAAGTACATGTAAGTTCGTGAAAATAGAAAAAAATAATTTATTTATATAAATTATTTTTTATACATACATACATACATATGTATATATATATTATTTTGTATTATACTGATATCTGCAAGTCAATTTTTTGATATTGACCAATTTTTCAATCTTGAATTTAATTTTTGTATTTGAATTACAATAGTGTTACTTACTTATTATCTGTTTAGATAATATGTTAAGTTCAAAATTTTTTCCTTTATATATATGTCTATATGAAGGGGTGTAAATTTCTTAAAACTACTCTTAAAACTTTCTCATGCCGTAATTGATAGTATAAAAATCTGCTTTGGTTTCTATTAGATATTTCACAATTTTTCTGTAGGTTTCAGCTGTATCTGGTGATATTTTAGTGGCATTTGTTCTACTTTGACAAAAGTAGCTGTCAGAGCCTGTAATTTGGTTTAATTAATAACAAATAAATTGAAAAATTTATGTTTTAACGAATTTCGGGTGAGGTCGGGGGTCTCTTGGTATCGGTGCAGACTTCATTAGCATTCAATCATTCTGAAGCAACTGATAGGGGCTGTTTGTAAAAAATGAGATTATTCAGTTGTCTCTTGTGAGGATGCGCTGGCTGGGTTTTACGTTCTCCAGAGCTAACTGGGGTCATTGGAAGTTTGGACGAGGTTTTTGTTTGGAAGACGAAGAACGAAGTGTCGAGTCTAATGACCAAGTTCTTTTATTAGACGTTCTACTGGACATGACCAGATGGTAGTATTGTATAAATATATATATATATATATATATATATATATATATATATATATATATATATATAAACTGATTAAACCTTGTATAAGTTGTCGATGTAATATATATATATTTAAATGAACATTGTTTTCAGTTAATAATAAGCCAAGATAGCAATCCGTTGTGTTAACATTTTTTTAGCCTCTGAATATTGCTACTTTACTGTTTAAATTTTACTAGGGCCGGTATAGCAGAGTGGTTAGCGCGCTATACTAGTAAAGCAAAGATCATAGGATCGAATCCCGGCCCTACTTCCCAATACGGCTGGTCCCCGCGGGAAGTTAGACCATTACCCTCTTAATTGGGGAGGCCTACAGGTGTAATACTTGTAAAAACAGGCTATACAACAACTGTTTAAATTTTACTACTTTGCTATCAACTTCAGTATTTACTCTTTATTGTTAATATTAAGTGTCCTTGTATAAACTCTAGAAAGCTGACTTTATCTGTTAAAATTGTTCCAATATTGGAAACTTAACATCCCATATTTCATAATTTATTTTTGTTTTCTATTTAATGTTACTCTTATTTCAAAATGCTAATGGTAAAATATCAAATTTTTGATCGTCATCTTGATGAAAAACCAAGTTCGGCCAATCAGCTTAAGCCCAAATTGTATTGTATGATATCTAACAATGCTATTTCCGATTTCCATCCAGTTTTGCATCTATTCACAAGAAGTCTTCAACTCTAGATCAAGAAACGCACCCCCAAACTATTAAGAAGCCACTTTGTGTTTTACTGTTTGTTGCAAACATTCATCCCAAAGGTCCACCCCTGATCTTCTTTAACTTCTGTCCAATTTTCATGTTCTTTGGCAAACATAACCTTTAAGGCCAAATAATACTAATATGAATATTAATGTTTACATTTAATTAATAAAATAGTTAGAACAAATAAATAAGTTTTATTTATTTCATTTAACGTAAATAATTCATTACAGCGGAAATCTTTAGGTGTGAATATCTTCTAAACAAAGCTCCTGCAAAGTCGGGTCGAAACGTTGGCTTTCAATAAAATAGTTTTACCACTATTTAGTCTATGACCGCAACCCCGGACCATCTCCTTCCTTTAAAAAATGTATACTTTAACGAAATGAACAATATTATGTATTTCAAAAGAATGAACACCATTTATCATTTTCGAATTCAACTATATATCCTAGATTAAGATAATTTTTTATTTCATTTTCATTTACTTTATTTATGTAAATAGCTATACCTAATATCATATACGGATTATGTGCGGAATAAAATAAGTTTGATTAGATCAAACAAAAAATATATTACATTATGTCATTTAAGAAATCAAACTTATAACTAGTTTTCTCTCGCAAATCTTCATCAGTGACGGCTATCTCGGAAGGGGTAGGGCTCTGTGTTGTTCCGATCTCTTTGTACCACAAATGAGATGTCTGCGATATTGATGAAATGAGATTGATCCAATGAGGCTAGATGTCGGAAGATTTAAAAAAAAAAATACATGAGAACTCTAACGAGTGAATCAGCGGCAGTTATCTAATCAGTTTTTCCAAAAATTGTGGCCCTGAACAGCATGGTAACTGTATCCCTCCACAAATTGTTTTTAAATAGCATTTATTCTTAAAAAAAAAAAAATCTGGTGTGTCTACTCACACGACTTTCCTATCTATTTCAGAAAAGTTTTTATATCTTTAAATATGTCCACGAAGAAACAAAAAAGAATTGAACTAGATACATTTTACTGAAAATTGATCAAACATAAAATTTGAATACGATTTATTTGAAAAACTAAAGCAATGTTAACAGGCTTAAGGTATATCAGTGTAAAAATGTCAAAACTTTCATAATATTGCTGATCAAAATCTTTTTGCCATAGCTTAGTATTGTCAAACGATAATTTCTGTTAAAAGTAGAGGAAATAGTGAAGATTGTGTGAAGCGGACAACAGATTTTCTTACTTTCACTAAGTCATCTTTATTCTCTCATTCACCCCTTTCTGACACCAGGATATGAAACCGAAATCTTACATTGGAAATTGAATAGCTGTAACTTCGTTAATATTTGTCCAAAATGAACGATTTTTATATGGCTCTGTAGCGAATTTCATTACCTTTCAAACGACAGACTAAACGGCTGGTTCGATTCCCATGATTTTTTTTTTTTTTTGGTAATTTCATTACCTTTCAAAAGTTTTATTATAAATTTTACCGTATTATATATACTTAGAGAGTTAGGCCCCATAACATTTTTCTTTTCTTTATAACTTTTTTTGCTGATTTTATTATAGGGAAGTTTCATCAGAATCGTTAGAGCCGTTTTTGCACTACAGTCTTTAGAAACACATGTTTTTCATTTATTATGCGCAAGCTATTGCACATGGAGCAACGAATTTCTGTCACAGGCATCAGTAGTCAAAACCCTACAAAATAAAAAAAGGAGCAACAAAATCGGTTCAGTAGTACCCGAGAAAATCTTGGCACAGACAGACCAATGGCTAAAAATGTGTTTTTCGGACTCAGGAAGCTCTGAAAGGTATAGATCCGTCGAAAACCTCATGGCGAAAATTTGACCCGATTGCAATACTTTCCTTACCTAGTATAGGTAGGAAAGTAATAAAAATTACATAATGGAATTAACAAATTAAAAGTAACCTATCTAATGTGTATTATCGATTAATATCATATTACGATTGCGGGCGTATGCAAGGAGCAAGGAGGCAAGAAGTGTTAGGGATTAAAATTGGTTGTTTAACTATATGATTAGGGCCTAATTGTAAGAGACCTGCCGATTTCCAGAATGCCTCCAGATCCTCTCGCAAGGCAAAGCAGGCGCAGCTTTTCCAGAGGATCCGCTGTCACCTCGGCCTTCCTCCTTGCCTGGTTCATCATCTCTTGGTTGGCACGGCTGCTTTGCGATTGGTGATTCATCATAATCTGCAAAAACCAATATTCACTTATTGTAAATATCATTTCTAAAAGTTTCTAACCCTTTTTAAAATCTAAATTAAATTGTATTATTATGTAGCTATCAATAATGAGCATGAATTAAATGTAGAAGAAGGTGGCTGCTGATCCGGCCGAAAAATAAAAATCTCAGTATAATGAATTTTGTTTCAATTTTTGCCGACGTCTTTGCTATAAAACCTTCAATTTTTACTTTCTCTTACCCGTTTATGTTCGAAATATCTAGTAAAGAAAAACATTGCGATCGTGAAAAAATTGTGAATCCGAGTTTTCAAAAAATACTAGCTTTAAGATCCTCTGAGCCCAAACAACCAAGCCATGCAAAATAGTCAGTGCGTAAACGAAACCGAAATTAAATATTTAAATTAGGTATATGCCTGGGATACTGAGTATGTCAGCAAATGTTTCGTTAAAATTGAGTCACCAGGAGTAGCATTGCATTTGATTTGATTTTATACATCCTTACAGTTTTCTCGAAATTGGTTCAAACGATTTTCATAAAACTCACTACATCAATTGTTAAATTAAATGACTTTTAATATCAGGAAGGTATAGCTCATTGAAATAGTTTGGTATGGCATGATCGCACAATTATTTAAGAGGCTTCCTCTAAACAATCTTAAATATTTGTTTCTAAGAGAGCTAATGATATATCGAAGCGTTTAAACCTTCCTTTAATGTAAACACGCGTCATTTTCAATAGACCATAACGATATAGCGATGCTATAATGAATTAAATATAAACAAATTAGTTGAAAGTAATTTGTAAACAAATTAATTGAAAAAAGTAAACAATTTTTTGTCAGTTTGCCTTTCAGTGTCTTGTAAAGGATATATTCAAACTTTAATTTCATTATATTAATTTGCACCTTATTATAATAATTTTTAAACCTAATAATGGATACTCAGGACGAATTCAAGTCTTCTGGAAGTATTTGTGCTTCCAGGCTTTCGGTCATTCAGTTTTTGATCGGATTAAATTTAAGTAATTTCAAATTAAATGTTGTTTATGATTAAAAGTTATTTTTTTTTTATCGGATGAATGTTTAACCGACTAATGCCTAACTCAGATGCCAAATTTGGTTCACTACGCCACAATTTGTTATCTTTCGCTGCTATGATGCTAAAGCTAATTCGAAACAATCCATTTCTGATGTCTTATAATTGTGATAAAAGAATTTTATTTGGCTATGACTTCAAGTAGATAATGTTTTCGTTTAATGCCAAAGCATCTTTTTAAAATCGTTTGATAAATATTATCTTCGGCATAAATGGAAGTTGGTTTTTCTTGGACTCTAAGGGATTAGATAGAACTCTAGAAATATTGCTTTTGGCATTGAATAAGTACCTTAATGTTGAGAGAAACGTGAGAAAAAGATTAAAGTGATTCATTATAATAAGGTAAACTGGTGATTGTGATATCATTTTTCGTTTTAGTAATGAAACATACGCATTTGTTTTCTTTTCATTGCTCAAATTAAATAAATAAATAAAAGTATACACTTGGAAGTAAACAAAACAAAAATGTGTCTCTTTTTCATGTCAGACTCAAATGGCTGTTCGCAAAATAGTTTAAAATATCTATGATTAAAATCTTAGAATGAAAATTAAAGTAAACATTTTTAAAATTTCCTAACAATCTATATGAATATAGTGAATCTTAAATTACCAACATTTCAGGTTAAAAAATAATAATAAAAATCTCGGAGTGGAATGTCTGATTTTCTATATTCGAAGAAAAGCTAAAGTACTTTTCTATGGCTACTTTAGTTTAGTTAAAAAGAAGTATTATTTGTTATTAGTACGATTTGGAATTAGCATTGCAGATACAACCATAACTATGGGTAGAACGATGTTATTCTATAAAAGAGGAGTCCAAAATCAATTTAACTGATCCCTTGATTATAGGAGGTGTTATAGGTTCATGTATTAATTTTAAATTCAGGAAGTAATGTTAAAAATATGATAGAGTTTTTCATTTACCTTAGGCCGCTTTGCTGGCTGGTACTGGCCACCAATATAGTGACAACTAGCGCCTTGCGGCCAATCTTCAAACGACCACTACTTCCACTCCTGTTCCGCCAACCAATCAAAAAATTCTAAACTAATTCTTATATTTAAATAATAGTTTAATGAGGCATTTATTATAAAAAAAATATGTTAGCTGTGGCTGTTGATGTCCCCTTTAAAGAAAACAGCTTTTATTACGTCATCTAACGCATCTAAAGTAACATCCTTCATACGAGTTTAATAGTGTTCTTAGTATTTATTTCTTCTTTATACTTGTATCATCATAGAAAAAATAGTGAGGAAGGGTATATATATGTTACTAATAGAACACAACTCACGTCTCTACAAATAATATTGTTTTGTCCCGAAGCGGTTCCCCTTCACACAACACACACACACACACACACACACACACACACACACACACACACACACACACACACTCACACTCACAGACACACACGCATACACACACATATATATTAAAAATATAAAATACATAACTGTTTTTATATTTGCTTCGGTATTGAAATATTTAGTGGAGGGATGGTTAAGCAAGTCAAGAGGTAAAGGGATCACCGCCAATCGATTCCCCGTTAATAAATAATAGGTCGTTCAATCGAAACTGCTGTATATTTGGGGCAGTCCATTTTCCAAGCCATTAGTAACTCATATCAAACTAGTTTGCTATTATACTACCACTTCTTTCAGATGTCTTCAATAATTAAAAAGTTGATTTAGAAGAGCAACAGATAAACATAACCACTTGCAAACATGCAGTAAATCCATATATATAGGTTGGGAAAGAGGAGAGTGAAAAAGAGAGAGAAGGAGTGAGGAATGTCATCTTACATAACATTTTTTTGTTTTTGACATTACAGAAAATGTAATCTGTTGCCCGCCTTAACCAGCCTCTTCCATCTCTGCCTGTCTTGGGCTATTTCTTTTCAGTTATCTCCCTGCAGCATCTTTGTTGATTCAATCTATCCATCTGGTTTTTGGTCTTCAACGTCTAACATATGATGAAATGAAGGCATCAGAAGTATATAAGAATATAAGATTGAACTAGAATCTCGAAGATGAAAATTAAACTATAAATAAAATAATGTAATATAACGATTAGAGATGCGGGAGAATGTGTAAAACTTATAATAAATGTAAATCAAGCAACCCAATATTCTACAATAGTTTAAAGCCCTTTTACACCATAATGTAATAATGTAACCATGTCATTCCTAGAACAGTAAAGTTCTTTTATTTTTTTAATTTCATCTGTAACTATTATATAGAACTTTAAAAGAAAGAAATATAGAAAAGATTTTTGTATTTATTAGGGGACATTCAGCCCCTGAGAATAACGAAAATATTTTTCATTATGCTTGTTTGACTTTTGTTATTTTTATAGTGATACATTCGCCTATTGGTCATAGAATTTTAACAATAGGCAAATGAACCAAATGAACAAAAATATTTGAAACCGGCATTTGTCTGGATCTATTGATAACAATTACACGTAGTAATAAACTAAAGACAAATTGAAATATAAAATGAAAATTTTAAATTCTAATCTTGATGAAAATATCATATTTTCACTTTTCATTCAGTTATAATTGGTTTCGTGCGGTCAAACAAATATTATCTACGAGACGCTGATATAATAAATTGGGGTTTAAGAGTTCAAATAAATAGATATATTGCCCAGATAAATCTATCTATTTTCCAATCCAACACATTACAACGAATAAACTTACAGGCTATATTTATTTTTTTTCTGATCCAGGTTCTAGCATCATCAATACACATAATTAATATGAATTAGTAAAATGATTATTGTATTTGAGAAGGAAACAAATGCTCCTAGTATATTAGCTATAGAACCAAGGGTGGCCATCCCCCCAAAGATTAATGGCGTATGGATCATTCCCCTTATTAAAAAATTGTATTGCTCTCCTCTTCTTGAAAACAGTGCAAGCGATAGTAGAATCAGAAAAATCGTAGATCATAAACAATTACACTAGCTGTGCCTGTCCCATGTCCCCCCATCCCCTAGTTCTCTATTTTGAATCTTTTCACTACCAAAATTCAGACCTCCGTCAAAATTTGATCCCTCAAAAATTTAAAACCCCCTCAAAAACTTAGACGGCGACTTGCGCCATGAAATCCCCTTCTGGGCACTCCTGTTAGATAATGATGTTATTTCTGAACCTTGAACACCCTTTACAAATACCTAAAACCTTTAAATAGTTAAAATATGTTCACACTTTAAAGATATCTCTATAGTAGAAGTATTAAAAAAAAAATGTAACATACGCAAGAGTTTGTAAATACCTCTCTTCATGGTCTGCTTTTCTAGGACATCTAATTCTATGAAGTTAAAATGTTGTTAAAACAACTGAGGCTACAGGTAAATATGTACCGAACTTATATATATATATATATATATATATATATATATATATATATATATATATATATATATATATATATATATATATTATTTAATCAATAAAATACCATCCACTTAATATTTATTTGCCGGATTATAAGCATTATGAGATAACACGTTTATAGATAGTTTAAAGATGAAATTTGAGAGCGGATTACAGGCACAGGGAGTTACGGCTGGAAAACGGAAAAAGCTGCCCTTATTATATAAATTTTTTTTTTTTTTTTTATATTTGTTTATTTAGAAATATTACATTCTGTCACATCAAGGACAATTATATAAATTAAGATAGGGCATCTGCCATCTTTTTTTTTTTGTTATTAAGATTTGTTTTACATTCTTTCAATCACATTAACTGATTATTAAGTTGATGGTTTTTTTAATCAATTAAATAAAAAATTGTTTAAAATTACTTATGAATTTTTTTTCATCATTTATTTCTTGTTATCAAAGCCTCATATGAAATTAATTATTAAAAAAAAACACCTACTATAATAAAACCCACGAAGAGACTTA